ATTTGGACTTGTAGTGGTGAGGGCTTGTAGTTCATGGCCACAGTCTCTCCCTTGGTGTCAGTGTCTGCCTCTGAGGTGGAGGATGCTGCGGGGTCCTAGGAAGAGAGACACGCAGTGCAGAGCATGTTAGCATTGATTCAACCAAATAACAACACTAACAACAACACATGATATCTAACTTTACTACAATCTCAGGTCCTGCCTCTTCAGAGACTTTAATAATCCTAGCTGTCACAGCTGCAGTTTGCCAATTCAATATCTGACAGGGATTAAACTTTAACCCAAGATGTTTTGTAGTAACACACTTCCAATTAAGGGGTGCTATACTTCCTCTGGGCATGTGAAATTGAATGCAGTCCTGAGGGTACAATCAACTCAGTACTGAGAGCTGCCCCTCAATTTATCACCAGACTGCCACAGGCCCACATCACCGAGAAAATCTGTTCTTTTCTAGAACCCGCATGAGTCCAACACCCTGGCGAGATTTCCCAAGCATATGGGTTACTACTATAGCTGCCTGGTTTGCAGCATCAATAGGCTTGAGTGTTCTGCCTATGTCGCTGGCTCTGTCTCTTTTATGTGTGAGCAGTGATGGCATAGGGGGGAGGCGTGGGAGAACAGAGGGGGTTGCTGTTGGAGCCATGGTTTCCCCAGATTGAGAGGGGAGCTGGGCCGCTCTGGGCCTGTTCTGCTGACAGAGCTCCACATTATGTTGATCCTACAGGCCTCCCCTTGTTGCACTCTGAGGGACTCCACAGTCCACATGGGCGAAGGCTACCGGGCATTTGGCTTTCAATAACTCTGAATAACTGTATTCTCTCCATAGGAGTAGCTGCTATATTTACAGGATCCTTCCAGCAGGTTAAATGACTGCAGCTGAAACTTTTGTACAGTTAAATTTGAAAGTTCATGAAGGCTCAGAACACTTACTTACACTAACATACAGCATGTTATGTGTATAAATATATTTGAATAGTGTCAAATAAAATATAGAACCAAAGTGTCAGATGTTTATACATGACAGGCAAATGTGAGCTTCAGTTTCATGAAAACATTTCAAAAATGAATAAAAACCATTTGTGTCTTTGAAGATTGTGAGAAGGGATTACAAAATAAATAGTTCTAGACACAGACATGCCTGAATCTATTTCACTGAAACCTTTTTAATGTTATTATTGTGAAATATTACAGAATTCAGGCCAATTCCATGAGACCATCAGTTTATCCAATATCACAGGGCCTGATGAAAAATTCATGAGCATTTAGCATGTACAGTGAGAAGCTTATTTTGCATATCGATTTTCATGTAACTCGTTTAAAAACAAGCTGCAAACAACACAATCTGGTGACACAGCACAGCAAAGATGTTTAGATTCACGTAATGTCTGGTTAATGCATAGGCAAAATTCAAAACATAAAGTTACATGATTGTCATCTGAGCAAAAGGCTGATATCTTTTAAATGTTTTTCAACAGCCAATCATTGCAATCCATCCCCACCTCCTCTGATTTCTCCTCATTTCAACAAGAACAAGTGATCAATGACAGGACGTAAGGTTGTTTTTGTTTGTTTTTTATAATGCAGCCCAGCGTAGCCAAATATACCTTCACTGAATACAAGAGTCTCATCCTCATCTGGTGATGAAGCATTGTTCACTTGGCTGGAATAATTAATGAGAGCTGCAACAGTGAATACTCTTTCTGTTCTGCGACAGGCTCTTCCCTCGGATCATTAGGCTTACCCACAGTATTTTTTTTTTTTTTTTTATATTTACTCATGTTTTTCACACTTCCCTTCTACCACAGAAAGATACTGTAATGAGGTAGGGTCATATTGTCTGTCAAATAAATCCCTTTGATTTTTTTCAGCGGAGCTGGCAGTAAATAATGAAAGAGATTCAGTATTAAGCTGTTTGTGACAGAATTTCCTGCCACTTCTTGAACATTAAACAGCACAGGTAATAGTGGATAGCTCACAACAAACAAGTTAAAACTCCTCTTAAAATATAACAGCTTACATTATATCAGTCTAATGTTTGGTTGAAAGAAATGCTACCAAAGGTTGTTAAGTTACAAAGTAAGTGCTTACTGGCCTATGTTATATTATTACTATCTTCATTTTGTGTAAAATTATAGGTATTAGACAATGGCATCATAGAAAGTCAACTAGGTCACTTAAAACATACACAAGAGCCTACAGTACCCTGAAAGGTCATGTGACGACTGCTGACCGTCACTCACCTGAACTATGACATTTGAGGTGACACACTGATTTTTATGTATTAAGAATAAAACATGGCCTGTCACTCCGACCTTCAACATGCATACACACACACTTAAACTCATTCATGGTCTCACAAACACACACACACACAAAATGTGCGTACACATCCGTGTATCATTTTCAACAGCTTGTCCTCCTGTTAGGGACTCCTTTACTGCCTCTGATGATGAAGAGCCACAAGGTTGCTGACACAGCACAGGCACCAAGCTATTGGTAGGATTATACATCATGGCTTCCCACTGGCCAATCGCACTAAGACTGATACATCAGGTGACCGTTAAAACAGTTGCATGCTATCCTTATGAATTATAAAGGCAACTGGGCTATATTAGAATCTCTTGTGTTGCAAGGCAATCTGTCATGATGAGATTTTGCCTACACTAAACATTCAAAAAACAGATTTCAGTTAAGGAATAATTAAAAATAATTTGCACGTTTACATTTCACAATCTATTATAGCTTGAACGCCTTTCACTGATAATTGAAATTTATTCAAAATCACACAAAATTCTACATAAAGCTTTTTTATTTGTGTGAAATTCATTCTCAACAAAGAGCCAGGTGCCAAGTGCATTCATGCGATTTAGGAATCACAATGAAGTTATTAGCATTAAAATGCACCGCCATGTGTGCACGGCAACTGTGATCCTGACACAATCAGAAATGGTGTAAAAGTGTGGGACTGTTTCAGAGGTTGGAACTGCAACGGATAAGAGGTAACACTGAAGAGGCCCGTGGCATTGTATGACTTGCACAGACTATTATAGTTATGAGGTGAAATAGAATTAAGTATATGGTTTCAAGAGTTTTTGGGCAAAAAATGACCAAACTGCAACCACAATTCAAGTATCTGTGGTAATGGATTCAATTCCTCAAACATCTCACTGAATGAAACATGAGAGCAGGCTGATCAAATGTTCATAGGGAAAGAGCAATTGCTCCTGCTTAAAAAAAAAGAGAGAGACTCTCTGTACCAGAGCAAGTATGTTCTTCTGTGATTTCTGCTGGAGTTTAGCCTCAGGGGTAGTAGGGCTGCACATTAGAACTTGGAGCTCAGTTTTTGCCCAAACCCCTAAGGCAAACACTTAAAAAAGGGGGACAGCTGTTTGAGGCTGCTTTGTTTAATGTGTGGAGAATAAGGCTGGCATATCAGAATCATCTGTGGTCATAACAGAATGTATTGCTGAAATAAAACCTCAGCTCAATATTAAATGTAGGGAACAAGAACAGTTGATCAGTTAATCTTTGGCAGCCATATCAATTCAGATCGTGTGCAAGGTTGGGCCTATATTATAATGGCATTCAAACACAGAGAAAAATACCATTATGTTGTAAACAGTGCAGGGTTATATATCTATATCTATACTAATTTTACTGACAGGTCAGAAACTTCTCATATGATAAATCATGGAAGGATGGGACTACTCTCTTACCAAGGGCCTCCTCGCCCTAACCATCATCATCACCATCATCATCATCATCATCATCATCGGGGCTGCACTCTGCAGTATCGTCTGGACACAGAGCTCCTATTCACGCGATCATTTAGGCTCACAGCTCATCCCGATCCAGATCACACGTCACCAGATGACGAAATGTAAAAACAGTGGCCTCTGTCACATATTGATGTAAACAATAAGTACTGACGTGGATTAAAAATAAAACACGATTTTTAGAGTGTCAAGTTAGAGTCAAGTGCATGATATAATAAAGAAACGAATAATTCGTATTGTTATTACTATTAAATATAGACGTTATTTGAGTGTTGATTGTATAGGGGAAGATACAATCGCCAACCTTTCATCTATAGATAATCAATGTACACCCATCCCAAAGATCCAGTTTGTCCTACTCGCTAGCTCTCACACACACACACACACACACACACACACAGATTATGTGCCACAGCTGCTACGACGATAAGCCACAAAGACGAGATAAAACAACGTTTCAATTTGAATTCAACAGAGAATGGATTACTTAAAATGTGTTTTTGTCTTTCATCTCTTACCAAAGGCTGTGTCTCCCCGTTGACTGGGGGCACTTGGAACCTGTCGATTTCTTCCATCATTTTGGCAAAGCGTTACAGAAACGACGCAGCAGTTTAGGATAAATGGTGACTTGTGTCTAACTATCCCGGTTTATGATGCTCGCTTGTCGGGATCCCTCGTTTTTCAGCATGATAGCAGCTCGTTTTCCTCCATCCTGACAGAGGTGACTCGACAGCAAAACAGCAGTACCGCCCCACTTCCGGGTTTATAGAATATTCATGACGCGTCTGTCCAATCCAAACAGAGGAGACCATATTCCACTGCGTAGTGAAGCAAATTAATGTTTTTAAATTACTGTTTTGAATTTGAATTATTTCCGCCGTTAGCTTTCTTATATATATGCTTGTGTTTTCACGTGCTTTTCCGTCAATATAAAGCAACGTAACGTAATTATTAAAAGCTTAGCATAATACTTCCCTTACTCCAACACTTAGGAGGAGCAACACTCTAAGATATTAAATCTTGTTTCAAAAGTTAAAGCTAGAAAGTGGCATAGACCTTATTTAATGTATTATTGAGCTGATGTTACCGCTCACATATTTCAGAATCGGAAAAAAACGGACAATGAGCAGAGTGAACCGGGCGAGTGAACTATCTTGACTTTAAAAGGATCTTTGACCCCTCAGAGTGACCCACCAAGACGGCCGGTTGTCTTGGCAACCTATATACAACTGCAGGCAGCTGCTAGGGACCGAGTCTAACTATATTAATTTCTTTTTTTTTACTTCGTGTCGAAAAAAAGAGATTTAATCAGTGGAATAACCAAACTTGGTCGAGTCGAGTTGGTCAAGTCTTTAAACCGGACTCTTGTGGCAATGTCCGTGCCTAACAATAACGTTGCAGCATCCGCAGGAAAGGTAAATGTCAGTTTAGTTTGGCTAACTAACCAGAGCCCTTGAATATAGATTTTGTCCCTATTCAGGGGCTCTCACTGTAACTAGCTAGTAAAGCAATGAGTCATGTCCAAGTAACTAAATGGAAAAGTAAAAATGACTGTTACTGTTAACTAGGCCTATGTGTTTTTTTTCTCTCTCTTTTTTTTTATCTTTCATTATGCTAATATTACAGCTAATCACGTAGTTGGTCGTCGATTGTTTTCACACAGGCCTCAAATGTTCAGAAGACACCTGGCGCGAAGCCAACCAAAGCTGCAAGTAAGAAAAAGGTGAGTAAATTAAATTCCATAATTTGACAACAGGTCTTAATTTTGGCATCTAAATACAGCAAGGAGAACTATAAGAAACCCATGTGCCATTACAAAATGATGTAATTTTTCTATTTAACCAACATATACAATAAATCTCTTTTGTATGTAATGCTATAGGATGAGGAGGAGGGTGTGGACGCCGGTGAAGGACTGGATGAGAGGGCTCACGGGAAAGCACTTATTAAACCTGCAGATCAACTGGAGCTCACTGAAGCAGTAAGAGAAGGACAAGGATCCTTATTGTTGAAACTCAAGACAGCAACATTGGTTCTGTTAAGGGAAATGGTTCAGAATTTGCTGCTGTTTTGCCTTAACTCAATTTTCTAATTAGAAATGTTCATAACTATTTTTGATCATTGTTCTTGCAATCAATACCTTTATCAAATTAGTCAGGCATGTGTAACCTGTGCTGTTATACTCCCTGCTTTATGTGTAATGATATCACTAGGAGCTAAAAGAGGAAATCACAAGGATCCTGACTGCAAACAACCCACATGCACCCCAAAATATTGTCCGCTACAGCTTCAAGGTAAGGAAGTTACATTCAAGTTTATAACTTTAGATCAATGACAGTAGGTTCAAATGTCACTCATCACCAATGACGCCTTATATCATAGATTATTTAATTAGAAAGTCAGACCATCTTGCCTCCCTCCCAGCTATTTACCTATAAAAAATGACAGTAAACTATTTCTGAGCAATGTTCCTGTGCTTTTGTTATCGATGCAAGTAGTCAATTGACATTAAATTTCCTCTCTTACAACTATAACCAAACAAACCTATTTCTCTCATCCTTGCTTCTTGTGTTTCTCAGGAACGTTCCTACAAGCCTACCCTTGTTGTGGATCAGATGGCTGTTCACTTTGTGCTGGAGGGCAGTCTAGTGCATCAAGACTCTGATGAGGGTCGAAGACTGAGGGCCAAGGAGGGTGTCCCTGAAGGTAGTTACTGAAACATGTTACATCATTTTCTGTGTCTGTGTAGCACAGTAACGCTTTTGTTAGATATTCAAGGACAGTGTTCAAAAGTGTGTCTTTGTAGCATGTAGTTTTCTAAATATTTATTCTGAGGTGTAGTCCATACTTGGTGCCACAAGGTGTCACTTTCAGTATGTGCTAGAAAATTGAAGAAATGTTCCGTGTTTACATGTGAAAATTAATGTGTTCATTTTCTACACAGTCAAGTTATGATTTAATATTTTCAGAGACTACAACAGTTGACACAGGGGTAGGATCTGATGAGGAGGAACCAGAAACTCTGGTAAAAACATGTTTCGCCAAACTAAAATCATACTGGTTTGTGTTGGCAGTATTTCATATTCCATTTTAAACAATGCATGACCAAGGCCTATTGATCAACCTCACAAGGTCATGATGTCAAGAGTGTGACTTGAGCTACAAATCTCCCGCTTGGTTTCCCACAGTCTTCACCTGTAGAGGACAGACCAGATAGCGTTGCCTCCAAAACCGACAAGAAGGAGCAGAAACTTACTAACCAAATCAACTTCAGTGAGAGGGCCTCCCAGACCCTCAATAATCCAATGAGGGTAGGATGGTGCAGTATAGCCAGTCATCTGCTTAATGGTTAAGATATCTAACATTTTAAAAGGGAATGTTTTAATATAAGAGGGTATGAAAAAAATCATATTGATGTGTATATAATCAAATTTTCATAACCTAGTGGACTTTCAGTGGAGTTATTTCTATTTTCTTGCAGGAAAGAAGCTGCCAGACTGAACCTCCTCCACGCAGCAACTTTTCTGCCACTGCTAATCAAGTACTTGATCCCTGATTTGTTTAAAAGTGATATGTTAGACTAGAGTTGTTTTCACACTGCTAGGCATTAGTAAATATATGTGCTCACATGGGCAGACTGTAATAACCAGTATTCTCTTTGCAGTGGGAGATCTATGACGCATATGTGGAGGAGCTGCAGAAACAAGAAAAAGATAAAGAGAAGCAGAAAGCCCTACCATCAAAGAAAGATAATGACAAAAGCAGGATTATGCTGACAGAGACTCAGGTAAATGGACTATAAAACCAGACTGCCTAAACTTTAAATGTATTTCATATTTATATCTCATAATAACATTGCCACCATTTTTACCATGCACTGATACCATAAAATATTTTATTAATGACTGTCAAAGCATAATTTTATATCTTCAAAGCTAACAATACGAATATCCAGGGCTTGTGATAATGCTCCACCATTTTACTCATGTTCTTATGTTGGTCTGTGATAATTTATGAGGAGTGAAAATTAATCCAAAATAAGGCAGAATTAATGTATGTTTTTGCAGTGTTTCCTTTAAAGATTTTGTCATGTTTCTGTTACAGAGCAATGACTTCACCAAAGTGGCAAAAGCAACCCAGATCTTAGAACGAATGGTCAATCAGAATACATTTGATAGCATAGCACAAGGTATCCTCTATTAAACATAACACGTGATACAGTACTAAACTACAGCCCCATTTGATGCTCAAGTCATTACAACCTCTCCTCTCCTCTCCTCTCCTCTCTGCCCTCATTTCACGCCCTCTCAGATTTCAAATACTTTGAGGATGCTTCTGATGAGTTCAGGGACCAGGAGGGCACCCTTCTGCCTTTGTGGAAGTTCCAATATGACAAAGCCAAAGGACTGTCTGTCACTGCCCTCTGCTGGTAGGTTTGCCCACTATCTCTGCTAACATTCCCCCAGAATTCATTATTATTCTGGGGAAAGGGGTTGTGATTTTGTACCTCAACTATTGGTATTTCATTTATTTTATATCACCACTTTTCCAAGAGCGGAGGATGACTGATTAATGCACCTGTCCTTAATAGGAATAAAAAATACCTGGATCTGTTTGCTGTGGGAATGGGATCGTGTAAGTACACAAAATAGTGAGCTGTTACTGTAAACGTATCATAGACAATTTTAATCTTATGTAATCTAATCAGATTTGTATTTGTTTTGTTTTAATTTATTTAGTGATTTATTTTTGCATCCTCCATTCATTCTCTTTTGTCCCTCTTCTGACCAGATGACTTCAGTAAACAGGGGCATGGCATGCTTGTCTTCTACACATTGAAGAACCCCTCGTTTCCAGAGTACATCTACCCCACCAATTCTGGTGTGCTGTGCCTCGACATCCATGACCAGCGTTCCTACCTGGTGGCGGTGGGCTTCTATGATGGATGTGTGGCTGTCTACAACTTGAAACAGAAGGGACTGGATCCTGTGTACAAGAGTACAGCTAAGAGTGGCAAGCACACTGACCCTGTCTGGCAGGTGAGAGTAGAGCAGACATGACGGGACTTCACATGTAAGTTTAATAGAAGCCATTTTTGTAGCTAACCCAAACCCGAGCAAGCAGTAATATTGAGTTATTATTTCTCCCCAATCAAAAGCAGAATTTCATGAAGTGGAGAATAAAGGAAATGCCATATAAATGTAACTTCCTCCTCCCATTATCTTGATCAAGCACATAAAACTTTTTCACACAGACTATCCATTTTCTTTTGTTTTCAATGCCTTTATTCATTGCTCTGTTGTATTTCATTCAGATACGCTGGCAGAATGATGACATGGACAACAATCACAATTTCTACTCTGTGTCATCTGATGGTCGAGTTGTGTCTTGGACACTTGTTAAGGTTAGCCAAGAAAATATACTGTATGTATTTACAGATATTCTCTGTGTGGCTTGTATTCTCATAGGCTAGCCTTTTATCTCAGCAGAATACAAATATAATGCAACTTTCTAGATGCTTGCTAATCAAATACTTTGTGAGTGAACTCTGAATTATGTGCTCAACTTTGCAGTTGTCTATGTTGTTTCTTTAATTTCATGTCTATATGTGTACAACTGCATCACTGTTGTATTCATTACATTTTTGCAGAATGAGCTGGTCTTTACTGACATTATCAGACTGTCACTGAATGGTGTTGTATCTGAAGGGGCAGATGGTTCACAGCAGCCCAGCATTGGTAAGGCTTCACTCACTTAGCATGTTATGTTGTGCATGTATGTAAGAATGTACCCACAGCTTTCTTTTACATTCACTACTAATACAAAGTACTATACTTTATATATTACCTGATATCAGACCAGATATTCTTTGGTTCGGTCGGCTGGAGTCTGTAATTTAAGTTCTTGATGCCTCTTGCCCACAGCTTGCGGTACAGCGTTTGACTTCCACAAACAGATCGACTATCTCTTCCTAGTTGGCACAGAGGAGGGGAAAATACACAAGGTATGTATTAAGGATTCCAATATGCTGGTTTTGGCTGAATGACCCAGGTCACATCTAAAATTACATAGAGACTAAAAAATCACTCTGTAAGTGCAGTCTATTTACATTTTTTTTTTAGATGGTATATTGACTATAATTTGATGTTTTAGTTTGTTCTGGTGGACAGTGCATGTAAATTGGTTTAAAATAGAGTCAGTATCAAATAAACAGCAATCTGTGATGCCAGTGTATCAATTATGTATCATGACAGTGATGCATATGATTGGTCACTGACAAGTTTGCTATATAAAGGAGGAAAGGAAGATGAAATAAATCAGTATAATTGAAACCTACTGTAGCATACAGCCAAAATCACACCATTCTTCACACCAGTTTTAATCGTAAGGTATTGTACCTATAGAACCAAAACAAAGCTTCTATTAATTTTGTTAAGATGACTTTTGAAAATGCATGCAAAAATTTTGCTGATGGTGTTCAGAAAAACCTTACCCCTAAAATGTGTTTTCTTTCTGTACTTAAATGACATTAGGATCATCTTTGGGCTTTATGCTGTCTCCCAGTATCTGCTATGAAAAATGGAAGCTCATTCTGTTTGTGTTGCACGTACAGACATCCTGCTGGGCTTGCACTCCAGAGGGTACACAAGCTATAGTTCCCATTAATAGTGTATGTGTGATTGTCCAAATGTGCACTAGTGTGTGTCCATGTGGCCCGTTGGGAGCCTCTCAGGCTTGACATTAAGCGTTTAATGAGTCTCCTTAAGCAGAGGCTCTGTCTGACCACATCAGACAGCTGGTAGTTTTTGGCTGACCTCCCACCTTCTCTGTGCTCATCTTCCTCATGTGCTTGTTACTATAGGCATAAAGACACATAAAAGTCTCATTCATTTGCAGTTACCGTGCCCCTATTCTATATTGATTTAATAACATAAAAGTGTTTAAACAGCTCACTGACTAATGCACACATCACTGAAATCGGCTGATCTCTCTCAAATTAAGCTTGTGCTTGAGGGAAGTCTATCGCACATGGCCATAAAGAGAATTTCATTTATTTGTTATTATGTGAATTTAGCTTAACTCCTGGCTGCAGAAATCTAAGACATGCAAGAACACACACAGATTCACCAATTTAAGCAAACGCATCAACAGGCAATGATATTGTAAAGATAAAGGATGTGGATTAATTGTTTTATCCTTCATTATTAATGTTTGACCCTGAAGACCCATCCCTGATAAAAAAGAAAAGAAAAACCAAAACCAATATTTGATTTAATTTTGCCAGCAAATACTGTCTCTGTCACTTCAGCTCAAAATAGCCTGAGCTCCAGTAAAGAACTTCCCTTTCATCCCAAAACAATTAAAATCATATAAAACACCTATACCATTGCATTGAGTATGGGTAACATTTTACTTAATTTGAAAAGCTAAAAAAGATAAAATAACCATGTTTAATATGGTGCACCATGGCACATAAATAGCATTTAAGACCAGAAACAGGATTTTTCACTGAAATTTTAAAATGTACCTTTTTGGAAATCCCTAACTGTCTTACACTGTCTTACTCATTGTACCTAACTGACACTTTTTTATTGCATTTTGGGCTTTTTTTGGGGCAATGTATATGATCAAGGAAAGGTCACAAGTAGCAGACTCACACCTTTGCTGCACTCCTGTGCAATCACCTTACTTACCCAGCTCTCTTTGCAGACATGTTGCCAGACACACACCCAGTATGTGTGATCAAATATATTCTGTCTGTCACCTCAAGGATCAGTGGCACAGAAACCCCAGGAGAGGACAGATTAAGAATCTTTCACCTAGCTGCAGGTCAACAATCAAACTGTCAGTGCTTGGAAATGCAACAGCTGTCCCCACAAGCCATGAAGCTGTTTTATCCTGGATTGGCAAGTTAATTTATCCCTGCAATCTAACTATGTTGCTCTTTAAGTAAAGTACTTTTCTGTCAATGGCAAACAAACTATGGAAATTTAAAGGGTACTTTGAACAACATTGAACTACAGAGAATTGCATTACTCTCTTTGGGTTAAATCTGTCGAGCACTTCTAGCCTCACTCCAATCAGCAGTGTATAGCAGGGCTTTTCCATCAGCTGTCAGTGGAAAATTTGATAGCCCCAGGTACAGAAAGCATTCTCAAGAAAATGTTTTATGTCAAGTTTCCCTTCCTTAGAAAGAAAATGTATATTTTTTATCAGAAAGTTACAATTTGAGTCCATCATAGGGAAGCATTATGGGAAGTCTATCCATATGTTTAGAGCTTGATACATACAATTGACTAAAAGTCAGGCAATGCTTTCTGTCTAGAGAAAGTCCCTCAAAATTATAGAAGTGCAACACCAAATCACTGTAATACTGTAATATTAAAGTTGTTCAGTGCACAAATATTCTTCCTAACAAAATAAGGGATAACGCTTATGATAACTTATCTCGATTGAAATAGAAAGATAAATCTTTTTATTGACAAACAGAATTAAAAGGTGCCAAGAAGGGTGCTGTGAGTCAGAAAAAACACCCAAGAATAATTTTACATTTTCTCTTGCCACATTTGTAGCTTCAAACAAGACATGAGTAGTCCAGTTTGGCCTGGCCTGGATTTCTACAAATTTCTACTTAACCATTTAAACCGAGAAAAATAACAGTTTGGCAATGAAAGTTTGATTAAGCTGAGCAGATATTACCATGGAAACATTTTTTGGGCATTTTTGCCTTTTTTGGAAAGTTGATCTCGAGAGAGGGGTATGACATGCAACAATGGTTCCCCAGCTGGAACTGAACCATGGACATTGGGGTTATATGGTATGAGTTATAACCAGTGGTTATTGGGGCACCTTACCATGGAAACTTTCATGTGTACCTGCTGGACTGTGAGAAATCACTTAGTAGAATCTTGTTTGATATGTTTTTAAAGCCCACAAGTTTTCTGTTTGAGGAAGCTTTTAGGTACTAAAAAAGCTTAGATTTGTGCAAATAATTTCTGTATGCCTCTATTGCCCTCTAATGGTTTGGTAAAAGGACATATAAACAGTGGACAAATTAAAGGACAAACCAACATAGTCTCAAGTGTCCCGGTGAGGACCTGCCACCAGAACGGCTTCACTGTACCGGCAGTGGCGTTGGCATTGACTCTTCTGGAGGGATGAACACCATTCTTGCAAAAGATATTCCATCATTTGGTGTGTTGATGATGGTGGTGGAGAGCACTGTCTATGAAGAATCTCCCATTGGGTTGAGCTATAGTGACTGCAAAGGGCATAGCATATGAGTCACATCATTTTCATACTCATCAAACCATTCGTTGACCCCTTGGGGCATTGTCATCCTGTTTCTGCACTCACTTATTCAGGGATTTCTCATCTGTAGTTCCACTCCTAATACAATAAATTGTTGACAGTTCTTGACAGTTCCTAGACATTTCATAAATCCTCCAATACAAAAGTTAACTGCAGGTGCCATGAGCAGGTAATAAATGCACACAGTTACTGAACACTGTATTAAATAGCAAATTTTTAACAGAAACTTGTGTTTATACCATCTACTTTGGTCCAACTCAAGACTTTGCCTTTATTCCCCAGTGCTCCAAGACTTACTCAAGCCAGTTCCTTGAGACCTATGATGCCCACAGCATGGCAGTGGATGCTGTGAAATGGAACCATTATCACCCAAAGGTTTTCATCTCCTGCAGTTCAGACTGGACTGTCAAGATCTGGGACCATACTATCAAGTAAGATAACTGATAGAGTGGATACTTGCAGCTACTGTAGATATGACATTTTTTGATCGTTCTGGACACTACATATTGTATCACAGATATAATAGTATTATTCTATTTTGTTTAAATTTTATGTTGGTTTTAGTAGTAGATCCTTGTCATCTACAGTATTAAATTTTGTTTTCTTTCATCATCAGCAGCGATTAGAGTTCCATCTCCGACACTGCTGGCTTAACTGGGTGTCGCGTTGCATTGCCAGTGTCGGCTGGTGGGAAGCTTTTGAGGGATCATGTACTTGGCGGAGGCACAATTTCAGATGAGGGAGTAATCTCCAATGTTGGGTTAAAAGGAGGATCTTATGACTCCATATGTGTTGGACTTGACAGTTATGCAATTATGCACATAGTCAAGGACTTCAGTGCATTTCAAATTTGGAGTAAAAGGGTAAAAGATGTGTAAAAATAGGGGATCTGAGTGAAATAGCTAGTTGCTTCCTCTAATGGGACATGTATGCTGTGGTTAGTTGCAGAATAGCGACTGCAGTTTTGTGTTGTTTTTAAATTTTCATGCTTAGCGACATTTCTAATGCTCTGTGTAGCTCAGTGAAGAAGGAACAACATACTCATTATTCCTGTAATCTTTCAATGATATTACAGTATATTAGACTTTATTACCTTCTTACACTCACTGTGGACCAGGCTTAATGCGCCTGCCTTATTTGACTAACCCACAGTGCCTCCCACTTCTTGATTGAATAATGATAGTAATCATCCGCCCATTATGAGAGACAGGGTTTTCAAGAATGATCCATAGCACCCCATAGATAGAAGCCTTATTGTTTCCAGGAAAGGGTCTGACTGGATCAGGCAACTTTTCACAAACTCTTTACCACATTGTTAAGAAATGTGAAAGCCTGACTCTGAAAACTGCTCCTTTTGTTTGACAGATGAGGCTCATATATCCTGTAAAACTGCCAGATGACGTCAGCCAGTCCTGAATGAACTGAAGGGCTTGTATTAATAGAAGAGAGTTGCATTCAAGTCTATATATCACACCAAACGTTAGCTTGATAAATTTGCACCTCAGCCGAGTGATAAACTTGGACACAATTTATGAATCCTAATAGCTCTGAGTCTGGATTTACAGTATGTGCAGTGTCATTCTGCTATAAAAAAACCCTCTCTTGAAAGACTCTGGGCCAGATTTATAACCCTTTTGCATTTAATTTCAGACATATTCTACACCTACCAGAGTGCATGTTATTTATCAAACAGGCACACCAGCAGAAGTACAGTTTGTCTGTCATCTGAGGAACATCTTGCACACAATCATTAAGGGAGGCTGGTGCAAATAACAAGAAGAGTTATTTTAAGTGTGGTTAATTGCACATTCTCATTTCTTTACTATGGTTCACGAAATTGTGAGGCTCTGTTTTGCACAGAAATATTCTACCTCTGGTCCATTTTTTTTTATTTCTGAGTATTCTTTGTTTCAGGAAGGCTGTAGATGATAAGGGAACATTTAAATAACCAGTATTCTTTAGAAATCTAAATAATGACACTTCAGGGTAGAAGTACACCACAAAAAAGCATGCAATGTACCAAAACAGTTCCAAAGCAATCAATAATAAATACATGAATGTAATAAATGATCACAATACATGTCCAGTCCTAACAGAGAGGGAGTAGAGTTTTGAGGCTGTTTGTGTTTGTGTGAGTGTATTTGCCATTCACTTAGCCACTAAAGCACTATGGTGAATGTATTCTTGATAAAAGATTTCAACATTACTACAGTTGGTTGCACAATTAGTTCCTGTGTTAATAAGTCATAGCACCAAATTCGCACAGATATTGTTTTCATGTATGTTTCTAAGTCTACTCCTCTCTCAACCTTTTGAAAGAGAGGGTTTTCCTTTCTCTATCTGCCATGCTCACACATACACACACACACACACACACACACACAGTCCCTCCTTAATATCTGAAGACATGTATGTGCCTGGTTCCAGCTCTTAGAAGTATTTCATTTCTTCATCTCGCTTCCAGTGGTGTTACACAAGTTAATAACATGAAGAAACCGTGTGCAGGGGCCTTCTGTTTGATCTCCACACGTTTTCTCTGCCAGGTCCTGATGAGGCATTGGTCTCTGTACATTTTGTAACTGACTACCATAGATGACAGTCAAAATTCACTTTGCTACCATTGGAAACAAGGAGGAAGATATCACAACGTAATAATGCCTAGATCATAGAAATAAAGTGTACTGTTTTATATCCAGAAACAGATAAAAGATTAAGATAGATTGTACAAACAGTCCCAGTTATACTGAGGATTTTTCTCTGTAGACTCTGATGAGTAACAGTTCTTGTTCATTCAGCATGACACTGAATTTCACAGGAATGCAGCATCTAGCATTTCATGCACTATACTTTAATAAAAAGGAACAAATTTCCTGTCTGACCTTGTATGTCTGTGGGTTTTTCCAGCACTCCAATGTTCACCTTTGACCTGAAGGCAGCTGTTGGAGATGTCTCCTGGGCGCCATACTCTTCCACTGTATTTGGTGCTGTCACAACAGATGGAATAGTACGTGTCCTTTTAAACTTCTTTTAAACATTTTGAAACCCACAATATGACTTGGAAGATTATCGGTTCATTACTTTTTTTGTTGCTTGTTAAAGCCTTCAGAATACTGGTTCATGCTGCAGTGCATTATTTATGCTTAGATTTGTCAAAAATCTCACATTGATTGTATATTGAATTTATAGTTGAAGGAAGCAGATAGATTGTGCACTGTCCACATGTGATTCCCCACACAGAGCTTTAAAATATCAACACTGACATCATTAGAAGAAAGAACACATTACTAATGGTATTTTCATGGCTCCAGGTGGCATAGGTTGACTATACAACCAGTCTCAGACCTGTATGAGGGTCTATAGGATGCTTTGTCTGAAGGCTGTGATTATCACCACCACACATCTGCTGTGTAGACAACATGAGCTTGACACACCTGACAGAACATGTGCAATCCCAACAGCTACACCATCTACCACCTGTCACGCACTTCATTATTATCCATATAATATAGTGATAGTCTCAGCTGACTAATCCCTTACTATATTCATAAGGGAAAGCCTAAGATTAGCCTCAGGCAGTTGAGTTTGTTCACACACGGTTTCATGTTACAAAGGCAGCTTCCTGCCCTGCCAGTGGTTATTGATTGCAGCCAAAAGTAATTTCAGTGGATGCCGTGTTGCTTATCTCCACATATTTTCTTAGTATGGCTGCAAGCTGTCCCCATCTGTTTGTCTTCGCACCAGTCTGCGCCACGCTATAAAAGTCCAGAGTGTTGTGTCTGACACATTTCCTGTCCAGTGTGCCAAGTGAAGGCGAGGGAGAGTGACAGAGAGGAAATGAGAGCTGAGCAATTTGAGAGACACCTTATGTGATACACACTGTGTATGTGTGTGTGTGTGTGTGTGTGTGTGTGTTTTTCTGGTCCTCTCCAAGGCCAGGATCCAGACAACACAGGCACAATGCATACTGTAGTAATGTACCATTATATAAAAAGTATAAAATATTACACAACCAAACTTCAGTCTTGATAAGACATGGAAGTGAAGAAAGATCAGATTTCACAACAAATTCACAACTGAAATTAAATGTCCCTTGTAAACATCTTTCACCAAAGAATAAATAAATAAATAAAAATGAAACATCTTTGCTAGAAAGCATATGAAGTCCCATGTGTATTGTAATTTATTCTCTAAAACTGGATCAAAAGCAGTTTTCAGCAGCTATTAAAAAACTCATTAAAAGCTCATCAGTTGGCATACACTTTACAAGCAAATTATATCCTCTCCTTTCTAAGCAGCAGGAAGGACAAGAATATTAAATTGGAATCGATCAAGGTCAGTGTGCCTAGACCATTTTTTTCTCAGTATGCTTAACTCAAAACTGAAACAAGTCTGATTTTAAGGATGTGTGGGTGAAAACAGCTTAGATTTTAGTGACAGACGCTAGTGATTATATACAAGTATATTTGTATTTACTCTAATGCCACATTTTGAGATCACCTGTAAATCTGACAGGGATGTACAGAATTAACTGGATCCACTAAATAACTCCTTTTCCAGTCAGAGGCAAGGCCTTGACATATGGTCACTGTCAGATTTAGAAGAATGACAGAATATTGTCAGAATTCCCACGTTTACTGGTGTGGTCACAGTGCGTGATGTTAATCGGCATAATCTTCCCCAGAACAGCAGCTTCTCTGCAGTACATTTGTCATTTCTGTGACAAGTGATAGAACTCAAGTGACTCAGCATGAGCTGTGCGCTCCTTAACGTGTATTTACTGATACTGTTGATGACAACCTGGCCTGCTACTGCTGCTGGCACATTGTAAAATGTCAGGGACACAACAGTGTACGCGTGTGTGTGTGTGTGTGTGTGTGTGTGTGTGTGTGTGTGTGTGTGTGTGTGTGTGTGTGTTTGTGTGTGTGTGTGTGGGTGTGTGTGTTCATAAGGATAATGAAACAAATATCCCTTCATTCTTTCTGCCTCTCCATCTGAGCTAACTGTTGAGGAGATACAGTGTCAGGATGAAATAATTAGTGGGGGATATGCTTGGAGACTGCTACATACTTAAGTTGGTATACCTGCTCGATTTTTAGATCTTTTTAGATCTGATACTGAAAAAACATCTAAAGCCAATAAAAAACAGCCTAAATCATTCAACTAATTTAATATATTAAATTTAGATTTAATTAAAACACAATATGTAATACAATACAGATTTGACAAATCATAGGCAATCCCTTAAGCATCAAGTCCTTGTGTGAATTACAGATGCAGTGTACTGCAATCAGTCATGACTAATGTTACACTAGTGCTTATGTATAAGCAACAAAAACACTGTAGATAATGGCTGTAGTGATGGAGGTTGCAGAAAGTCATACGCTGGCAGAATATGATGATTGGTTGCAAGTGATGACTGTGATGCTTTGTGTGGTGCTGGTACACACAGACAGTGTGAACCCTAGCGGCCTTGGCACAGTCATCTTTCTGGTAAAAGGAGTGGGCTGTGCTTAGCAGTGGGCTCATTTTTTGTTAGCAGATTGTGTACATGCACTTAGCCTGAAAGAGGGATATCTGTGATCTGGTTCCTTCTGGATAAGGATGCCTATGATTTTATATTGGGGCTGCCAGCACACACACACACACTTACAGCAATAAGTGCACACTCATTGAATTACTGGTAACACCCTTTATTCCACCAGATGGTCAGCCTTGTATCCCCGCAGAGGCTTGTGCTCCACCATTCTCCTTCTCACATAGAAGACAACACACACACACACACACACACACACCAGGCAATTTTTAACAATAAGTTTAGCCTTTACTTACGTACTCTGGAGACATGATGTGAATACTTATATCCCATAGTCTAAATATGGTAATCAATAAAAAAGAGTCAGGTATTTTTTGGACACCCTCAGCCAGTGCTGTTGTGATGGTGTCATACTCCGGAAATGTCAATTCAATCAGAGGGTATATTATAAACACATTAACTGGTGTGATCACTAATCTTTTCCAGGTTCATGTTTTTGACCTCAACATCAACAAATATCAGGCCATCTGCCAGCAGTCAGTGGTGGCCAAAAAGAAGACCAAGCTGACTCACTTCGAGTTTAATCCCATCCATCCTATCGTCGTAGTGGGTGATGACCGAGGTTACGTCACCAGCTTAAAACTCTCCCCTAACCTTCGCAAGAAACCAAAGGTAAGAGTCTTACAGAGCTCCCCAAGACAATTACATTACAATCATTTGAGCTAATTTACTCTAAAGCTACAACCATTTTAAACCTGTCTATAAATTGTAAGAAGATAAACCTGCCTTTCCAAATGCTGCTCCTTTACCATTCCATGTTTCTTCTCTTGCTGCTTTGTCTTTATAATTAGGCTTTATCGGCACATTCAAATGGAACTTGTCCATGTTACAAATTAGGTACCGAACTTTCCACCACTTTCAGCACTATGGAGAAGTGTGTGCTAACTTATTGTGTTCTGTCACCATATACCATCTTATCTGTATACAGTATTGATGCATGCTTGCCCTTTTGCATTATTCATGACTGCCACTTCCTCCACATCAGTGAAAGCAGATCAGATGATTCATTCTTTTCAGAGTCCTGACCTAGAGCTAATTTCACTAAATAACAAAGGAAGGAAGGCCCATTTTAGCCAGTTAACAATTAGCCACAGAGGAGTCAAGTGTTCTTTGTAATTGATTAAGCTTGTTAGAAAAGATGACTAGATGTAAGAGCAGAACAAAATTGTTACGTATTAGAACTATTACTGAAAATCAGTGTGAAAATAAGATAAAAGAGAATCTTCTGGTGGTCCAATGGTTTAAGATGACTGCTATATATGGTGGTTAATGGTTAATGAGCTGTGGAGTAATCACAGTGGCCCTACTAAACACAGGAGGAAACCAAATGGCGCTCTGAGTCACAACACTTTAATCAGGACCCATTTAGAGTTGGCTCTGCAGCCTCTCTCCAGTCTTCCTTTGAGTTGTTCATGTTGGTGCATGTTAACTAGAAGAAATGGCTAATATGTGTTTATTTTTACAACACATTTTTGCATTATGCGTTGCATTGCCACGCCTGGGTGCAGGCGCATAAACAGTTCTCTGTCAGCCACTCTCATAAACACAGTTTATGTGGGCTCAGGCTAACAACACATACACACACACACAGTACTAGCTCATTAGCGACCTCAGACTGTAGCCCTTAAGCATACAATTGGGAAATAACTGCACAGTTCAGGACCACTGACATTGGTGTGGAGCATTTTGGAAACCAGTGTGGCAAATAAGCATCAGACACAAACACACCCAGAGGAAATATTACCAATAATATATGTCTATGAAATTTACACAGCAGCCGACTAAAACTAGGACAGTGGGAGTGGTAGCACATTAACATACCCAAAACACTGGCACAGTGGCCTAGCAGTCCAAACTTTAACAGTACAAGTGTTATACTCACCTATTTGAAAGGCATTTGGCTGATAAGGCAGTCCGTGTTCTTGGCTCTCTTACTCTCACTAAACCAGTCTACTTGACCTCTCTTGTCTTTTAGTTCATTGTTTTTATCCTTCAAAATGAGAGGTCAGATGTTATAACTCTGATCTAAATTATCAGAAAACAGAAACTTACTACAGGATGTACACTGCCAAAGTATGTTCTAAAATGTTCTGAGTACTGTCCGTTCTGCTGAATTGAGCAGTTATTTCCCAGTTGTAAGCATGAGGGCTATAGTCACTAATGAGGTAATGTTAGGTGTGCGTGCTGTTATGTTGTGCATGTATAATTGTGTAGACCTGTAGGTATGTTATCGAGGAGGATCTGAGTGTGGGCCCAAGTGCCAAAGTCCCCTGTTGCTCACCAGTTCTCTATTTTAGATGTTTGAAACTCTCAGGTTTTGAGAAACAAGAGTCTTCTGAGATAGATCATATTTATGCAGTGGCCACTTTCTTGTTGGATCTTAAAATGTCACAAGTCATATAATGCGTATTAAGTACCTGAATGGGCACATAATAGTGTACTTTAGGCAAACACTGCAAATGTTTATTATATTTGGATGAAGCAACAAACCCTTGTCTGTGTCAACACAACACACTGCTCTGTTCAGCTGTGTACAACATTAATGTGTTTATCCGATCTGTTCTCTGCTCAGTGTCCCCTCTCTTTGTTACCCCCAAATCATAAGTGAGAATCATAAGTGTTGCATCATAAAAGCAGCATTATGCAATGTTTTTGATGGTCCATTTGTTGGCTCCCAGAGTATAACTTCTACCACTATATATATATAAATATATATATATATGTATTAAGTAGAGTTTCTGAAAATGAGATGAACAAACTTCTGGGTTTATTATAGCACAGGTGGGAAATTGGGTGCATTACTTTTATAAACAGGAAGGGATGTTAATGATGTGGTAAGCAAACCAGCAAGGAAAAACAGGAAATTAGAAAATAAAAATTAGGACACAGGTTGACGTCTTGAGAAATAATATAGTTTTTATTATTATTTGATTCATTTTGAAGTTGAAGTTGAGGTTTGTGCTCAGCCAGGCTTTATCTCCACTGTGGAGGAAGCTTTTTTATTGAGCCATCCATCATTGCGGAGCTCTTATTATGTTGCATCTAGATTGGATGCTCATTCGTTTAGGGATTGCTGCTGTCTAGAGAAGCCACATCACTGTGTCAATTTCAAACTTCAAAATAGCTACACCAAAATATAAATATACATTTTCCAAGCTTCAAAGCAAGGGTTAGCAAGTCACCCCCAATCGCTCAACTGTGAATATTAAACAGCCACTCCCTCCCCCTTCCTTGCTAATATTATAAAAAGTCCATTATATATAATAATATACTTTTACTACTAATTTTATTGATGCTATATTCTTGTCAGGGGACACTCATTTAATGTGCTTTGACACATGAATGCACTATAAGTGATAAAATTGATAACGGCTGTAGTTCATTCAGAATGTCTGACATGACTTACTGGGACACTTCAATGTAACAAGCCATTATCAATGTTATTAGCTACACACACTGTTTTTCCTGCTTTAACTAGTCAAACGTTCTGTCTCCTAGGACACAGGGAGCTTCACGGATCTGTATTTTAAAAAACCTCACACTAATTTTGAACTCCCCCCCTTTCAATTCCTGATCCTGATTTTCATGCAGTTTTGAAAGGATTTAGGCTTTTGAACCTTATGCCAAGTTGTTATGAATGACCTCTTTGTTCCTGAAAATGAAAGTCCATCATATGTGTGTAGAATATCCAGCATGTTGTAATATCATTATATAAGTGTCAACAGTTGAATTAATTCAGTGTTGTACAAGCTGATGCTGCCTATCAAAGTCCCAGCAGTCAAATATGTCATTTCCTGATTAAGATAATTGAAATCAAGTGAAGCTGTGCTGAACTGCAAGGCTTCTTTAATTAAAGTACAGTTCAGTATAAGAAAAGCCTGTAACAAAAGTAAAGGAGCCGTGATAAGGAGATCCCTATTAAATATTCATTCACAGATGTGGAAGAAACTGCTGCATTAATATAGGACAAATGGTGGGCCATATTATATAGCTCTTAAGTGGTTGTGCTTATCTACAAACTGGAGTTTTTAATGTACCAATAAAAATAACATGCTCACACCACAAACCTTTGAAGATCACTTTGAATTTACCCTCTGCATCAGTGCCCTTTAGGCAGTAGCCCATGTCTTCAAAGCACATTTTACAATATAGTGGACAAAAATTATACTAACTATAACCACTTTGCTACTATTGACCTGATTGTGCTTTTTTTTTCCTCCTGCTGACTGACTGCTGGGCTTGTTAAGGATAAGGTCAAGTTATTTATGATTTCTTTGTGTGAATGTGTGTGTGTGTGTGTGTGTGTGTGTGTGTGTGTGTGTGTTCAGGCTAAGAAGGGTCAGGAGTTGCCTAAGGATCCAGAAGTTCAAGTAGCCAAGATGGAGAAGCTCCTCAGTCTGTTGAGGGATTCAGAGCAAAGCACAGTTTAACGTGGCCGCCGTGGATTCTCTCCCCAACACAGAAACAGAAACATGGAACAATCTTTCACTCCATTTCCTTTGCTGAGCGTGTGCAACAGTAAACAACATTGACATAACAAGGAGACAATTTGTATATGTTTATTAAAAAATGTTTCCCTCTGATCTTTCTTAAGCTGTTAATAAATTATTCATACTCAATTAATAATTCATTTATTTATACTGCAGTACTTTATATATATTAAACAGGCAACACTAGAATTCCATTGACATGGCTGACCTCTTCTGCAGGGATTTATTAAACCGTATCCTGTTGTACAAGTTGATTAAGCTAAAAAAGTGAGGGGGAGAGTTACTGCAAGTGAAGGTGGAGATAAATTACTGTAATAGATTGAGCATTTGTGGACCATATCCAGACAACTTGTCTTGGCTTGCACACGCCGTCCTGGGCACTTGTCCAGGGATAAGTGAGGAGCCTTTTAATATCCCATCTACGGGAAGAACTTTGCTTAGAGTCATGGTGGTGTCTCTTTCTATTTTGCCTCTTTTTCTCCATTCCTCTCTGTCCTAATGATCTTGTCCTTCAGTAAAGTACCACCCAGTGCTCTGATGCTCAACTGGAATCAAACACTGTCACAATGTCCCAAGCTCTCTTTGTGTCTGTCTCTTCTACATGGAGCTTCTTTGACCTTCAAACAGCACTATCTTTCCTTAAGAGTGATTCATCACTGGATCTCCACAGGTTTAGTTAGAGAGGACCGCTGAATAACCTCATTTCACAGACAATGCATTACAAATGATTGTGGCCAGTGGAAGGTATTGTAAGGTTTAAAACGCACATCCTAAAATCTTTCAACACCATCACATTCCTTGTTGAGTCTGATGTTGCAGTGCCAGCGATACAGGTTAAATGCTTTAGTATTGATCATTTGTTCTGGGACACGGGGCAACATGGGCAGTGTCTGTTTGCAATCTGTAGGATCCATATGTACGTCTGTACATTTGCGCCCTGTGATTCAGTTCAGAGTAAGTTCGCCATGATGGACAGCCATAAGCAGATGTAAGTTTAAGGTCCGTATTGAAGAGGACACAAATCTCAACTAAGCCTCTCTAGTCCTTATGTAACACCCTCAGCAAGGCGCTATGCCTCACAGATCGCTGGTATTTATGAGTGACAATGACACACACACTTCACACAAGCTCCAGTCCCTGTTCTCAGCAATAGATTGGTTTACTCTTTTTTTTTTTTTTTCAGGAGAGAGTATGAAATAAGAGGATATATTTAGAAACCTCCAACAACAGCCCAGCCGCTTTTTGTGTACTGATCATTCCCTTCTCTCAGTCTCTGTTTAACCTGCATTCATCCCTGTGGTCATGTCCTTTTTCTCCAAGCTGTCTGTGTATACATTCACACTGGCATTCCTCCATGCACTTTGTCAAACCAAGGGCAAAATCTGACAAGTGATGGCTGCTTAAAAATAGTTTCCTCTCTCAGTTTATCCTTGCTATCTTTGTGAGGCACAGTCATTTCTGCCGTCAGTTTGGCAGCTGACTCTAAAAACTGTGAAGGACAAGCCCGATTATTGCTTGCAGTCAGTCTCGGTGCTCAGTCCCCTCTCCTGTGGAGGAGTGCACTGAGGCCATCTCTCGTTGCTACATTTGACTCATCCTACTGCAGTCAGGAGGTCAACAGGTACTTGTGCTCATTCATCTTCTGGGTGGCTCCTTCACTGAGAGCCAGCACCGGCAGCATCTCGGGGCTAGAGGGGACCCTGCAGGCTCGGTAGAGGATTAGACAGAGGAGAAGGAGGAGGACGGCAACAAATGCGTTGCAGGCTATGGCCACCAAAGCAGCTGTGGACAGGCCCGTCGCGCTTTCTTCAGATTCCATAATGAAAACTGGACTGCAGTGTCCAGTGTTGGTCAAGTTGGTTCCATGCTGTCCTTAGTTCATTCTTAGGGATTGAGTGAGACTGAGCTTCACGTATGTCTTGATTTAAGAGTAGAAATTGAATTCATAGGATTATGATTACACATGTCCCCAGACTGACTTCATAGACTATTTCCACTGTTGTTAAACGCTGTGCCTTATGAGATATCAACATGTATTGTCTATGACAGGGAGAGTGTTCCTTGGCATGGGGCACATTTAGTTTTGCTGAATATTTAGATCAAACAACTGCAGCAAAGTCTGCCCGTGCCTCTCACTGCAGTGATGAATGTTTACTCCTCAAGGCTCGGTTTTTCTTTTTAGTTTCTTTAAGGTGACACACCACCACTCTGCCATACAGATGAGCCTCGCAGCACTTTCTGGCAATGCTGATTTCACAGTAGTCTACACTATCAAAACACCGCTTACGATTCCAGTAAATTCCTGCCAGTGTCTGTAAGAGAGGAACAAATAGGACAATTAGGAATAATTGAACACAAGCAGAGTTTAAAATGGGACATAGGAAGAAGCTGTGTGTCAGTCAGTTAACATCTCAGTCTTTATAAACATTACATATCAACATTAATCAGGTGCATATCAAGAGAGCCGCATCGCTTGTCTTGTCACATGGTTTCCTCTGAGCTGGTGTGCTCTGGTGATAAGAAACTTCGAAGACAAACTAATCAAAGAAACCTTTCTGTGCTTATTTTAGGTGTTCGAGTGTCAAAAGAAATTGGTGATCAAAATGAAAAACAGATCAGGTCATGCTTGCAATTCATCAACCATCAGACACATATTAATGCATAGAAAAAAATACATTTTTATTAAATAACAACAGCAGAGCAGAGTATAGATCACATGTGACAGCCATGTGTCAACAAGCTGCAGGTTTTCATTCCAACCGATGACCACAGCAGGTGGCTTTACTAATGAGTTCTCCCCCTCTACTTGAAGTACTCATCAGTGACTGGAGTTTTTGGTTGGAATGAAAACCTGCAGTCATCTGGCACTTGGTTGGCAAAGGGAGTAACTGCCCAATGGCCCCAGAACCCAAGGGGACCAAAAGTTTTGCTAATTTGATGAATTGTAAAATTGAAAGTAAATTTGTACCACTAAAATACTAAAGCAGATCTTACATTATCAGCTAATTCTGTGGCCATTTTGTGTCACAAACTAGGTTTAGAAGCTTCATTATTTGTGTTTATCTCATGCTCATGTGGTGCAAATAAATTCATTCAGCCATGATGGTTGGCCACCCCTGACAAAGATGATAAGCTCATTCTTAGCAAGCATCTGTTGTAGTCTGTATGAAGGCTTTTTCTTTCCAGCAGAGTGCAGCCACCTGAAGGCAGACAATATATGCGCCATGTGCCGTTTGTAATTGGAGTAATGTGCATTTTCAAAGCATAATTATGCACAACAGATCCACCGTGGATAGCCACAGTTGCAAAATAACTACACAGGCTGCTGTATTTTCACACATACAACTCTGCATGTCACACACAAGAATATGCCTTCCTCTTAAAAGATGCTGATCCGGACTCTCAACTCCACAACTGGTCTGCACTGCTTCTGAAGCGACAGTATCAATGTCTATGATAGTTAATAGCCCCAAACAAATTCCTAAAACACCCACGGATAATGTATGATAGTTGTTTTTTTCCTAAACCCATCCTGTTTCTACGTGCACAACTAATGCGCATACATGCTTTTAACTACACACCAAAAGGGTAACTGCGCCTTGCACTGTTTACTTTGATTCACCAAAATAAGCCCCAATCCAGTAACAAATCAGATGCTACATGAGTTTTCTTTCACATGCACCATCCCACTCTTCCACATATACCCCTGCATGCTTGACGTGCTCATCTTTCTTCATAATCCTGCAAATTAACATCTTCAGCACAGATGGGCCATATGCTAATGCAGAGCACAATATCGAGAACTAGATTGAAAATTCACTCCCATTATTTTCCCATTTGGTAAATTAGCATATCCATAAATTTACATTGGAATAGCACTTGTAGTGTGAACAACTTATACTACAGTGAGTGAATAGTGTTTACGTGGAGAGTGATTATCAAGTCTAATGATTTTGAATTTACTAAAACATCCAACAACAACCTGCCAAAAAAAACAGAAAAAAGTAGTTGCTGTGTTTGGGACCAGTTGGATTTGGAAGATAGAAATGAAAAAGATAGAGAAATTATCAGTTATCCTGAGAATGGATCAAAGATAATCTCAGGTTAGAGTGTCTGGATGATTTGAGATTTTATTGCGATGTGCATTCTGGTCCTTTGCTGAGACTGATTTATTGAAAGCAAATGACCATTTGCCTCTGGAATTTGAAGTTGTTTTTAGCAATAAAGACCTTTCATTTCATTTTGTTTACTATCACAATTCATTCCAATGCAATTAATTAACAATGTAACTCGGAATGATTGGTTATGTTAGTTAAGGCAGCAGTTTGCACAGACTTTTTAATGTGCAGTTGTGAAAACAGTTCAGATAAGGCAAAGCAGCAGCAGAGCAGAGAGTAGCAGCTTTTGGTTTTGCAGTGATGGAAAACCTGGCTGCCCACAGAGTGTGACAGGTGGATTTGATAAAGTCACCGAGCATTTTGATCTGGCTTTTGTGCAGCCTTCAGGACTTGGCGGATAGACGCCTCTGTTCTTTCATTCTGAAGAGATTGAGGATGATTGTTATTCATGACAAAACTTCCCCCGAGAGTCTGAGGATGCAACAATCACAAGTAGAGATGTCTCTTGTGTGTCATTCATTAACTCAAGGCGTGATTATGTCATATTTTAGGAGGCTCAGGTTGCCTCTGGTCCTGTACATAAACATCTTTCACATTGTCTGGATGTTAACTTCATCTCACCAACACGCTAAGACTTTTGAATTTTATGTGTTTTCACATGCCAAAGCAAAGTCTTAGATTTAATGCTAGCTGCACACTTACCCCACAGACTCAGCCAACAGTTTGTCTTCTTAATAAAAATCCCATCTTCTTTTCTCCATCTTTGTTCCCATGCATAACACTTCAGCTGTTTACCATGCTCTGTCCCGTTCTCTCATCCGTCTGTCTCCGCCTCGTCCTCTCCTTCTCCATCTGCTCTGCTGCACTACACGCACAACTGAAGACCAGGCAGAACTGCACACTTGTTTGTGAGAGAGCTCTCCAATAGCAGAGACACAGAGAGAGAGAGAGAGAGAGACAGAGAGAGAGAGAGACAGAGGAGGGGCTGTGCAAGTGGATGTCAGCAGTGATATCAGGCGTAGGGGAGAGGGAAACGGCTTGGATGTAATTATACAGGGCTCCTGCTGCAGACAGGAGGGGTGGGGTGGGGTGGGGGGTGTAGGTGGGTGGTGGTGGTTGGAGGTTGTTACGGAGAACAACAAAGCCGCCTGTCAGATAAAACAATGACTTCCGCCTCGCATTGCGGTGCACAGTATGGCCACACAAATTATTTTAGCTGTTCAACACACGACTGGGAACAGAGGAGGGCAGACTGAGCTATTATGAGAGGAACCCACATTAAGGATTAACCGAGGGATTTGTAGTTCCCAGAAACGGTACACCCAGTACAAAACAAGTTCATGCATTTTCCAAAACTGGAACTTTTCCTTGTCTGTCCAAGTCCAGGTTTACATTTTGTTTTTATATCCTGATGCTCCTCCTGTTTTCTCCAGTCCCACCCCACCTCCTTTGGCCATGCTAATGATGTAACCTTTGGGGTTTAATAGTACGCAGTTTGTAAATAGCCCTGAAACCCAGTGGCTGTAATTTGCAGACAGCATCTTTATCATGTTATGAGAGATTTGAGATGATGACTTGGCGTTCTTGCAAGCTCATAACTTGGAAAAAACAAATTAAGCTGTATTTCCAAAGTATTTTAAGTCAGGACACAGGCCCACATTAGCTTCTCACATCAATTCTCTTAATATAAGTGATCTACAGTAAGTGATCTGCACATTCACCACAGTGGCAGGGTTCCCGGTGTGTTACATTATCATATTAACTGCTTATGAAGTGATTTCAGCACAGAGATGTCTTGAAGACTGAAAAGCAGCTGTAAAAAGCAGAGTGAAAAAGTTAGTACTGCAGCATTTGGGGAATGTACATTTTGTTCCACTAGGAGATAATGTTCTGTTGCAAATGAAAACTCTGAATTGTTTTCATATGAGGCCTCTGTGTTGGATTCATGATGCCTCTCAATAGGATTTTTTGTTGTTCAAGTTATTTAGGGAATGAAATGACAGATGTTCAGAGTCTGCATCCAGCTGGTGTGCAAGAAGTAGAAAGCCAAAGAAAAATATGTTTTGAATGTCAATGAAAAGTTACTGTCACAGCCAGTGTTTTTCCACTCACCGTGCGTCTGTCTCACTCTCCACTCTGCCACACCTCCTCATCAGCCTCACTGTCCTCACCTGTTGCCCCCAGCTGTTGCCCCCAGCTGCACTCCATCTCAAATCAAGCCAGTATATAGCCTATGCATTCCCGGTTCACTCGCGCTTTGCCAGATTGTTCTTAGTATCATGCAAGACTTTCCAACGTGCATCTCCGGACTGACTTCCCTGTATCGACTCTGCTCGTCCCTGACCATCCTGCCTCGTCTCTGCCCCGGTAAACGCCTCAGCCTCCTGTCCCCGACCACGAGTTCTGCCTGTGCGCTTCCTGGTCCCCGTCTGCCTGTCCCTGTGGCTGTTTGGTCTTCTCCACCTCCGACGTCGCAACGTGAG